GGGGGTCCTGGGAGAGGATTTTAGGAACTGGGATGGGGGTATCACCTTTTCTACCCCAGCAGCCACCTCAGGCTGTGGGTCTCCCATCAGTGTCCCAAACCCACGTCCCTACTCTGTCTGCTCCAGAAAAAGGTCATGAAAGAGGGGGGGGGGCACAGAAACCCCAGCCCAGCAATTCAGAGCCAACCCACGGGCAGACGGGTGCCCAGCTTGGCCCCCTCCCATGGTGAGACTGAACAGCTGGGGCTTGGCTGGTTCCCAGCACTTGGGCTGGGTGCATTTCGAAGCATTTTCAGCATTCCCAGCATTTCCTGAAAGGCCCGGCCATGAGCAGGGCCAGGCGAGCCAGGATCACAGTGAGGGATGCTCAGCAGGCACCACTTTAAGCAAATATCACTGAGAAAGAGAGTGGATTTGAACATGTCAGACTGAAATTTGGGGTCCAACATCACCACAGTGGGAAGTTAGGGGGAGGGAGGGAGCACAGAGGCTGTGGATGAGGTACCCTGTGTCCCCATTGCATCCCTCTAGGCAGCACCAGGGCACAGCCCCACAGGGGGATCTTTGCTGGGGAGGGGAATACAAAGACTGAGCAGGGTTGTTTTGGGAGAAACAGAGGATTTTTTCCCCCCAAAATCCCAGAGTCCAGCCACTTCAGCACTCCCTGCAAGGACAGGCTCCATCCCATGAGCCCCAGTTCATCTCTGCCTCCTGTGACCTTGAAGGAGTCTCTGGCTCTCTGCAGCCACTGAGCCTGGGACAAGGGCCCTCCCTGCAGGAGGAAATGGAAATATGGAAAAGCTTAACCTGCTGGGATAAATCTTTCCTTTCTGGAACATTTCTCTCAGCATCACCACCTCTCAAGTTCAACTGCCCTTCACTTGCTGCCATGTTGACCTTTCGACTCAATATATTGCAGACCTGACAACCACAAAGTGAGCGGAACAAATCGATTACCTTTGCTGGCCAATAGAGAAAACTGGGGGAAAAGCAGCTGAACCAGTTATCCAAATCTTTTGGGCATACCATGAAGCATGGGAATCAAAATCAGATGATCCCACGTTGCAAGTGACGTGATGCAGTCCCAACGCCCCAGCCCTCAGCAACGTGGAAAGCTGTCAGACAGGGAGCCAAAAGCAAATACGAAATGCTGATGCTAATCACACAAGATTGAAGGCTGATACTGCTATTGAGTGGAGCAGACAAACCTTATAAGCTTAGATATCTGTCAGGAGAGAAGCAAATAACTTACTGTATGAAACGAGGCCTTTTAGGGAAGGCTGCTCACCCTTGCCAAAGCCATGGGGATAATGAAAATAGGACAGCTAAATTTAACAGCAAAATGACTTGTAAAAGAGCCACTTCTAACCTCCTCGCTGGTACTTGGAGTCAATAAAATGGTTAGAGCATGGATTTAGCTAAAATACTTTCCATTGGGAGACATTATGCATCTCCCATTTTATAATCTCTTGGAGCCAGTGGTGGGTGGGGCGGGACCTTGTGGATGTGTCCAGAGTGATTTTGGGAGCATGGAACCCCACCATGGGAGCACCCACAGGGCCTGGGTCTCCTCCTGGGCTGATAACAGCACCCAGCACAGACACCCTCTTTGGCCACAGCACCCAAATATTTGAAAAAAGCCCACAGCCTAAACCCTCGTGGGCTTGCACGTCACCATTGCTCATGTCCACACCATCCCTGGCACTGCCACTCTTTAAATTACTTTATAACAGGGAATTCAGTATGTTTGGGCTGGTACTGCTTATCTACATGGCCCTGCAAAGGTGTCTTGGTGGTGCCAGGTGGCTGGTGCGCCAGCTAACACACCTCCCTGCCTCTGCCAGGTGGTTATTGAGGGACAGTGCCCTGCTGGGGCTGTTCAGCTGTTAAATTACCTGCCCAACACAGCACTCACCAGCCTGGAGATGCTGAGGGCACAGGGCTGTGATGCTTTTGGGTGTGGTGCAGGCACTGGTGGTGCAGGGCTTGTTTTCTGTTGGTTGTGACAATAAATATATTCCTGCAACACCTAAATGAAAAATAAAAACAGAATTAGTGGAAAGAGGTTTTGATCAGCCTCCTGTGTAAAGTGCAGCTCGTGGGGGGTCCCCTGACCCGCTGCACTGACACTCACAGGCAGCAGGGACCTCGGGGCTGGCTTTATCTGGGGCTCCCACAGACACAAACTCATATGATGGTGTCAATGCACACCACATTCATTTCCTCTGAATAAACTTTTGTATCTCTTGGCCACTTCCAAGCAGAGCGGGTGGGAGGCCCTGGGGCTGCTCTGCCTGGAGTGATGAGGTGCAAAGACTCTGGATGCTGCTGGAGGCTGCAGCAGGTCCCAGGCACTGAGGATGGGTTTTCCCTGGGCCCAGTGCTGAGCTGGGCTTGACCTGAGCAGCATGAAAACAAGGGATCAAATGGGACAACACGGGGACACAGAGGGTAACACAGGAAGTATTCAAGGCCAGGTTGGATGAGGCTTTGAACAACCTGGTCTAGTGAAGGTGTCCCTGCCCATGGTGGTCTTTAAGGTTCCTTTCTACTCAAACCAGGTGATTCTGATTCTAAAACCAGGTAGAGATAAGGAAAATGAGCCCATCAAGCTCCATGGCCCACCAGAGGAGAATATAGAAGCAGAAACAGCAAATAAGGTCCTAAAATCTGTGTTTGTGTCCAGGGTTGCAAAGCCCCAGGACCAGACTGCCCAATTGCTCTCCTGGGTCAGCTGGCATTGACTATTCCCCAGCACCAGTCTTGGCCTCATCCAGCATCTCCAGCCCCAGCTGGGCCAGATGCCAAGGGCATTGAGGG